GGGCTGAGAGACCCAAAACCGGAGATCCTGAAGCGGCATTGGGCGACTAAGAACCTGTGAAAATCTCGTCCTTATCCCACATTCCTATAAAAAGTTATTCCAGTTTTTCTTGGTCCAAACTCAGTTGGGACATAGTATATTATATTATATATTTTTATTGTTTTAGGTGATTGGCTATCACCAATTGTCACTGGAGAGAGACCACCTCCTATTCACTCCTTCACTTTAACATCAATTAATAATTCCAGTGCTATATTATTTGGAGGTATCGCTGTTGCTGATGTGAGTAACAATGTATATATTCTTAAGTTTACTGATAAATCAGTGGTAAGTGTATTTATAGTATAATTGCATTAATTGTTATCAAGAGTACATAGTACCTAAAGAGAGTATTGAATGGCCTTATACAAGCTGCTGCATGAGGGCGTATTTGCTCAAAGTCACAATTTGCATACTCAAGTATACTTTGTCAATGAATATAATTATTGCGTAGACATTGAGTTGCCATTGTCACGAGTTAGCAAGTGCTTGGGGCACAAACTCATGGATACTAGCAGGGCTGCCTTTGTAGTTCATCTTTTCAGTCTACTTTCAAGTTCCTTTCTTGCATTGGAAGAGATTGCCAAGTTTTTAAAAGCTAATGGTCAGATAATGTTGCCACATGCTTGATCACGTGATATGGTAAGTATACTGGAGTATGTGGATTGTGACTTGAGCAAATACACCCTCATGCATCAGTCTGCTATAGGGCTGTTGGATACTATCTTTAGGTCATGTACTCTTGTTATTATTTTTATTATTACTCATGGTGTGTGTGGGTGTGGTTTATGATGAATAAATTTATTTTATTATTTTAGAATTGTTTAAAGTTGTCTAATCCTGGAGGATCAGTACAATGGCCTAAGGGTAGATTTGCTCATTCCAGTGTATTGATTAACACTAGCTCAGGACCACACCTACTAGTGGTGAATGGAATCGGTACTTCTGATATTTGGATATTTAATATTAAAAATAAATCATGGAAGGAACTGGTAAGTATAACATTATATTTTGGGTGTGTTTAGACATTTTGGGCGGAGTTTATGGTTTTGGATAAACTATTGACAAATGGGTTAATCAAATTTTAATAACAATACATGTACATGTACAGTACATGTCAATGAGTATTACAAATTATATATGTATTATAATCCCCCTTTATAGTTTTATGTACCAAATAATGTCACTAATAGACGTTATCATTCTCTCTCATTGTGGAGTGTGACTCCAACCACTAACTGGATAGTTGTTTTTGGAGGAAATATGTCATACACTGATACAGCAGTTATTGAACTCAGTAAGCACATGTACATGTAGATACAAATGTATTTAAAATACACAATTTGTACATATTGAATATAACAATTATAAAATACAGTATAGCCTTTGATATAGGATATTATTTCATCAGATTTGCTTTATTAACTGACATAATAATTCAAAATAATTATATAAACGAGAGCACTAAAGTGTGTACAATCTGTATAACAGTTTAAATAAAGGCCTTTTCACACTGACAAAAGTAATGCGCATTGATGCGCATTAATCGTGTTCACACTAGAGTGGTTTCAAATTAATGCACATCACTCTCACTTCACCTCCAGAGGTAGATTGATATGAAGTGATGTGCTTTGATCAATGTAAACTAATGGCAACAACAACACAAATTGATACATAATCCAGCTGCTAGTGTGAACATGATCAATGCGCATTATTTCAGCTGTATCAACAAAGCCCATCAAAGCACTTTGAAAACTGTGCCAGTATGAAAAGGCCTTAAAACTTGACGGAAAGTTTTGAGACAAAGAAAAAGCTTCAGCATGTACTAGATTTATTACAACTTTGTGAATGTTTTGAGACAGAGAATATTCTGTTTTTGGCCTCGCCTACGCGAGGTATAGGTAGTCTTTGTGTGTGTCTGTCATTCATTCATTCTGTACAAGCGAAATTTGTCTTTAATAAACTATAACTTTAGCATAGCGTGTTCTAAGCCCCTAGATCTTTCTTTTTTGCCTGGAAAAGTCTTGCTTAACTGTTTTGTGTTGCTCAAATATCAGCGCTAGGTACAAGAAGCTTCAAAGTGAGAAAATTGAGTATGTGAGTCAAGTTCCGTTGTGTTGGCACTCTAGAGATAGCTGGTAGCATTTTCCAGTAGATTAGAACATGGCCTTCAAAACATATGAACAGATTTCTCTAAATCTTACTTGGTGAAGAGTTACAGTTGTCCTGGTTCTTGTTTGTGAAGCGCTGGAGCGATAACCTAGTGGGCTATAGGTACTAAAGTACCTATACTATCTCAAATACATGAAGGCAACAACTTTCTGTCAGCAAGTTTATCGTATATTGCTGATTAGTAAAGAAAAAGTTAAGCTTCTTTCTCACATGGTCTTCTTGCTGGTTGAAGATGTAATGCCACACCTTTTCAATCTACATGCATGGGAGGGGCTGGAGCTGCTTGCATGTATGTGCTGCAGTGCTGCTACTTCTGCAGGTATTCAAGAGCAAGTACATGCAACTGCAGGAAGCTAGTGTTGAGCAGACTCTCTTCATGCTGATAATCAAACAGCTATTGCAGTGCGGGCATGCACCATAGCAGCATAAGGGCGAGGCCATGCACCGTAGGTGTCTCGTTATTTTGGTGAATGGCTATCATAATGCCAAATTTGGTAAGTTTAATTCCCTCCAAAATGTCCCGCTATATGGTATGTCATCTTATGTCATGAACTGATTTAAATTATAATCAAAATGAGATTTTATAAATTTTTAATGCCTCAAAAAATTTGCATTGAAAGGTTGTGAACAAAAATGACTAGAAAAATTCCTAATTTATTTATAATTACAATTTAAAGGTATACTGCCTTACATGTAGCTGCTACACATTATATATGAGTATAGATCTACCTAATCCATGAATGTGTAAGTCGATGAAGCCAGGAGTCAATAAATGAGTCTGGGCGAGTACTGGTAATATCAGTAATGGTATCTTGTACTATACTGACGTATACTGGCCCTTTCTTTAGCTCTCCTCCAGGCAGAACAACCTCCTCCGCTTCTATTACTGTTAAAGCCGAGGTTAAAGCAGCTCGAGTCGAAGCGTCCATACTGATTGCTGAGCCTCAAGCCTGATTTAATTAATAGCGTGGGCGGCTGGGCAAGCTAGGTTAAAATCATAGGTGAAGGAAAGATCCAGTTGTTGCTGCTCGAGGGGTTCGCAACGGGAAGAAAATCTCTACGAGATTACATACAAGACATGTGAGGGATCAGTATTATTATTATTGCTGTGAAGTTCTGTGTAGTATCAGGAAAAAATTATAAAAAAGGCAGAATTCTCTCATTTTCATTTTTAACAAATTTGGCCAATATCTTTGTGAAACCATGGGCTAGAGCCTTGGGTATTTTTCAAAACTTGGCTGTTTTTAAAAATGCTCATAAATTGATAAATATTTGTCTGAATAAGCTCAAACTTTCTACACAGCATAAGTGCATCAATATGCATCAGAAAATTTAATAAAAATTTGGGTGATTTCGGAGCCATTTTTTAGAAAAAAGCATGGGCTATAGTACAGGGTATTTTTCAGAAAATGGCCAATTTCTAAAAATGGCCGTAACTTGAAAAATGTTTGTCGGAATCAGCTCAAACTTCTTACACAGCATAAATACATCAATATGTATCAGATAATGTAATAAAAATTTGGGGTGATTTTAGAGCCATTTTTTGGAAAAAAACATGGGCTATAGTACAGGGTATTTTTCAGAAAATGGCCAATTTCTAAAAATGGCCGTAACTTGAAAAATGTTTGTCGGAATCAGCTCAAACTTTCTACACAGCATAAATTCATCAATATGTATCAGAAAATGTAATAAAAATTTGGGATGATTTCGGAGCCATTTTTTGGAAAAAAGCATGGGCTATAGTACAGGGTATTTTTCAGAAAATGGCCAATTTCTAAAAATGGCCGTAACTTGAAAAATGTTTGTCAGAATCAGCTCAAACTTTCTACACAGCATAAATACATCAATATGTATCAGATAATGCAATAAAAATTTGGGGTGATTTTAGAGCCATTTTTTGGAAAAAAGCATGGGCTATAGTACAGGGTATTTTTCAGAAAATGGCCAATTTCTAAAAATGGCCGTAATGTGAAAAATATTTGTTGGAATCAGTTCAAACTTTCTACACAGCATAAGTACATCAATATGTACCAGAAAATGTAAATAAAATTTGGGGTGATTTTGGAGCCATTTTTCAGGAAAAACATAGGCTTTAGGTATATCATATATCTAGTAAATTTGGAGTGCTAAAATTTGGTGAATGGACCTCAATTTGCCAAGTTTTACTCCACCAAATTTTCTAGCTATACGGTATTTTTCCAAAAATGTACTCCTTTTAAAAATGGCTGTAGCTAACTCAAGAAATTTTTGTTGGAATCAGCTTAATGTTAGACATTATGCATCATCATTATCAATAATGTATTATTAATCATTTCTGATTAATAATTATTATAAGGATGCGGATCCGGACTTGAACTATTATCTCAAGTATCTCTCATTCATATACTGAAGATCTATTGACTGGGCTTAGGAAATAAGGACTCAAACACGATCAGACTGGTTTAATAATTTCTTTAATGTTGACTTGTTTGTATAATTATTATTATTCTTTAGATATATGCTTAAATTGTATCTAATACTATTTTATTGCCATTGTTCATGAATTACTCTCATTTCTGTTTATAAGTCATGGCACCTGCTTCTTATATTGTGTAAAAAGTTTGAACTGATTTTAAGCAAAATTGGATTTATTATGAATTTTTAAAGCTGCTCAAAAATTGGACCACAGTCCCTATACTATAGCACAGGGTCGCTGGTCAAATTTTACCAAAAATGAAAAAGAAAGAATTCTTTATTTTCATAAATTTTTTGATGCATATACATGCTGTTATATTGTGTAGAAAGTTTAAACTAATTTTGAGCAAGATTGGATTTTTTATGAATGTTTGAAGTTGCTCAAAAAGTCATGTAAAATTGTAGTGCTTGTCAGCTCATGAAGTTCATGCTGTTTAGCTGCTTTGTGGGAAACTCTGTCTGTTC